AAAAAAAAAGGGGGGGGGGGAGGAAATAGATCCAAGAATTTCATACATTAAGTTGTGAAAACGTATTTCCTGCCGAAATATCAATATGAAAATCTCAAACACTGATTTTTTTTTATCGCTTTATGTTTACGTCCGATAAATCATATTAATACGCAAATCACAATTGTATAAAACAAAAAAAAAAAAAAAAAAAAGAAAAATACAAAACAAAACAAACAAACAAAAAAACAGGTTAAAGAACGATAAAGAAAATCAAAACTATTTAATCATTTTAATTTTTAACTTTAGCTGTCAACACCATTTTTCTAATTCCGTAATAAGTTGAAATCGAATGCTCATTAATTGAATGCTTTTGATTATTGCAATTAATTTATTATTTTGTTATGGCTCTATTTGAATAGATAATTTTTCAATAAATAACGATAACAATTTTTACTACGAATCATGCCTCCTTCATTAATAAACGAGCCACTATAACTCATCATAAATACATGTCATAATAGGAAAACAAAATAAAAACAAAAAAAACAAAAAGCAAATTGTAGAAGGGTGCTTTTTTTTTAAGAAAACAAAAGTAATTTATAGATGTTAATTTATTTACAAAATTTTGCAATAAATTTTCATTTATTTGTATTTCTTTTTATCAAGTTTTTTAATTGATGTTTCAACGGGACGTATCACCCTGATGAAAGAAATTTTTTAAGTTTTGGCTCGCGCTTAAGTGCTACATTGGAATGTAAATTATTTAAATCTCTAGATTTTCATGCACCTTTGCCGCTTTAGCTCTTTATCTCATCACAATTAATGCTCATGAATATTAAATGTGAAAACAAAATTTGCGTTCATATACTGATTTAAAATACTGCCGATGATCAATAAAAACGTGATAATCACAATTTTGTGTGTGTGAAGTAAAATACAACTCAATAATAATAAGTTTCTAGATTTAATTTTGAAAACTGAAAAATGACATTTCTTGTTTAACATCGAAATAAGTATTTTAATGTTATAAAAATGATCTAATAATGCACAAGATCTTTGCTTAATTTTACTAAACTTGTATTTATAATATATTATATAAATTTTACATTTGCCTTATATCTTAGTAAAAAATTACGATTCTCTACAACTCTGCCGTTGTAAAATAAATAATTCATTGTTTCTTGTATGAAAGTTTTGCAAAATCAATTCAAGTATAAACAGGACAGGTACCATTAATCGAATTAAATGCCAAATTCTCTGAAAAGCTAAATCATTGTTATGTAAATGCTTTACCAAGATACGAATGGAATGTTTCAGCATTATTTTCACTCTTTTACATTTAGTTTTCTTTTGCACTTTAGAATTTGACACATAAATATAGAATATATTCCATGACAAACAATAGAAATTGTTCAGCTTAACGATGTTTGTCAAATATTGGAAATAATTTATTCTTTCTGCTGCTTGTTGAATCTTAGAACTATTTGATAATATATGATTGTAATTCACGGTTGAAATCCAAGACTATGAACTCGTATTTCGTGCCAGGCTTTGCACTCCCCGTTGTCTCCAGTAGGCTTCCAGATCAAACGGTTCAAAATCTGAAAATTCGCTCAAATTCGTTATTTGGAAGTACACCGTTAAATGTTCCACCAAAACAGTTGAATCGATTAAATATATCTTTATAAAATTACCTTTCAGCTGTGGATTTGGTTCGTGTTCTTGATAATACGTAACTAAAGCAGCATTTCTATAATTTGACGAATTGCCATGTTGCTGATTATGGTAGCTATCTAGCTCCTTGGATACGGAATTCCAAGCTACAAAAATGAACATAGACAAGTTCTCGACCGCTCATAGAATAGACATACGAATAAAACGTAGCCTAAGAAAATTATGGAAAAATTTCTCTTACATTCGTATATGTATTTGATTAAATCAAAGTGTTGGGAAGTTGCGTCGTTCTGATGATGCCTTGGAGGTAACGTCGTGGGCCTCTTCCCATTCATCGTGGTCATCTGTGGTCTCCCACTAAAACCAACAAAATTCACTCAATAGTTATCTTGGCGCTTGGTGCATCTTCCCCATAAGCATATGCAACGATTAGCCAAAAACTGAATATTGCTTTGGATCCCTCATCTCAGACTAGGGAAGAAGCCAATTAAAAGCAACAATTAACGAAACACCCGACTCTAGATACTCGTCTCTCCCTCTCCCCTCGCCTTCCTCTTCCAAACACAAAACAAGATCCCTCCGACGGCCGCGACGTCCACCCCATCCAACAACGCTGTCAATAACAATTAACATCCCTTTACTGAAAATGTAACGAACAATTGTAGGGCCCTAACAGCAAGTGACAAACGTGCGACTTTATCGATAGAGACGCTCGTCGTCGCTCATGTCGGACGACGCCACGATTCGTAAATGTCAACCGCGACATACACGCGAAAGAAGAGACGAACAAAATGTCCGCTAACAAAATGTTAGACTACGACTTTTCCCCGTCGAGACGTTCCTCCTCGTGGCGTCCCCGCGGCGTCCTCCAACATACGTAGCAAAAGGGGCGAGCGAACGACGCGCGACAATACGCGAACGGACCGACGCGTAGCAGCACACACGCTCGAGTCCCAAACGTCAGATGCTCACGTGTACTTCCACGGAGTGGAATCGCCAGCCAAGTGGCGCGTGCACCAGCTTCGCATCTCTCGGTTGATGTAACCACGCAACGGCGACCGAGCGTCTACCTTCGCGACTAAGCGCGACCAAGCGACCTACCCGTCTGACAAAGTTCCCCTCCCGCACGGCTCACCTCATTTTTATAGTCGTTGCGGTGGCGTCTTCTCCCCTCCCGTCACCGTCCCGCGGCAGACCAAGAAGACAGTAAACGAGAGTCAGCTGGATGGCGGCTCGGCCAGATTCCCGCTTATTCCTTAACTGTCTGCGCGCTCAGCTTATGGAGATTGACCACCGAGCGAATAAGTCCCTCTTGCCCCTCGGTCGAATACAGCACGAAGCGAGCCCGCGCACAACAGACGGTGAACGGCGATCGCCCTTGGCTTAAGCCATCCACGATATCGCAACCATAAATCTGTCTCCCGTGTGTCACAACATGACTCGAGTAGGCACGACTACTATGTTGTGTACTCGCGCATCAAGCGATCGACGACTGCGCCGCGCGAGAGGCGCGAAAATGAGAAAGACGGGAGCGGGGGGTTGGAGTGCGCGCGCTCACCGAACAAGACAACGAATGCGAGAGTGAGCGAGCACGAGGGCGGCGGGAGGGGGAACGGCGGCGGCAAAAGGGATGGTTGATTGGGAGGGAGCAAGCAAGCACAGCCTTAGTGGCTTTCTTGTCAACAGGAGAGTATCGGCCAACGGGTCCCCCCCCCCCCCCGCCGCCGCCGGTCCAAACCGACTCGCCCGACTGCGTCTGCTGCTGTGCCAACTGCAGCAGCTGCGCGAACACGGAACTTTTATTGGCGCTAACAGCGGATAGTGTCTCGAGTCCTACGCTCTCGCTCTGTCTCGCTCCCTCGCTCGTTAACCTCGCTTAGACGCACGTGTGCACTTGAAGCGGTCGCTGCAATGTGCTGCCGCCTTATTTCCTCGAGCGAATAACGTTCGAGAAATTCCGTTGGGAATGCTCGACACACCACACCATACAATCGCAGCTCTCTTCTGCGCATCCACACAATGTCCCTTTATTTTTACCATAATGTGCGCATTCATAATGTTTCATTGCGTATCGTCCATTATCATCCTTCATGTACATTTATCTTTTGTTCCCCTAGTAATTGACGCCCGTAGTCGTTTAATGCAAATATCTCATCGTGATAAACCAGTATTGGCGAGCTAATTAGCGTTAAAAGTACGTGGTTGGGCATTTTGGCGCGTCGACCGCTCGGCGAACGCCTCTTCGCATTCAAAGCCCGTTTTTAATCTCGTAGGAGCTGGCCGATTAATCATCCTCTCCTCTCCCCCCCCCCAATCCCACGGATTATTATCGAAGAGATTATTGACTTTACGGGCTACGGCCGGGACAAGCGGAGGTGCAAGGGGATGCGACAAAATGACAAACCGCGGCGCGCTTGTCATGCTGTTATAACGCGCTCTCAACGCCTCCCCAGACGCTACGGAGACAGAGAGAGAGAGAGAGAGAGAGAGAGAGAGAGAGATAAAGAGAGAGAAAGAGACGCTTGATATACTCATCGTCGCATACACCACACCAACACAAACAGCCGCGCAACTCCGAGTATATTATCGATTATTTCTCGTTGAAAATTTTGAAATTTGTCGAAGGCCCGGGACGATTAACGATTATCCTCCCACGTCCGGCTGCCCAACGCAATTTTCTCATTCAGAAAAACATCCTTAAAAAAGCTCAAGGGCTCGGCTCAAATTGAAAATGACCGCTTGTAATAAAGCAAGCGGGTGGCGTCGACGATGATGGTTTTAGGGGTGGGGAGTGGGAGGGGATGAGAAGTAACTAGCGTTATCGAGGATTATCGCGCGAAAATTTGGCCAATGAAAGTGTTCGTAATACGCGCGAGGGATCCACGCGAGTAGGCGGTGTGTGGAGAAGAGAGCAAGTGGCGCTATGAATTTCCGGCGTTGCGACGGCCAAATAAAGACTCGTCACTTCCTCTTGCTGTGCTTCACTTAGCGTCGCCGCTCTTGCAGGGACGCGCGGTTGGAGTAGAGAGAGCGAGAGAGTCAGAGTGCGAGAGTGCGAGTGTGAGAAAGCGACCCCGGATTCCCGAGTACCGACGATCGCACTCGCTCGAGTCGCTAGAGCCGCTTTTTCCTCTTCCTAAGCTCGTCGCTCGAGTTTGTGTGTGTATACGCGTCGTTCGAGGCCGAGGTCGATACGCTCGCGCTCGGCTACAGGCTTTTACCAACGCCATTAGGCGTTGTTGGCAATTTTTTTAATTTTGGGGTCCTCGCCTAAGCTCAACCATTCAACATGACGGATAATCGTAAGTCTATTTCACCTACTCTCTCTCTTTTTTTCTTTCTTTCTTTCTTTCTTTCTTTCTCTTTATCACACACTGTCTCTCTCTCTCTCTCTCTCTCTCTCTCTCTCTAAAGTCATAGATGCCTCGAGTCGAGTTGCCCGCGAGCTTTTACGATGCGTCCGACTCGTCCAACGGCTATAGGCGCCATTGAAGCTTCTCTAGCTTCCAAGCCTTACGCACGCCATGTAGACGCCGACACCAATCATTGATAAAAGAATGCGATTTTACATGATTCGTCGAGCCGTAAATTGGCGTGCGTCCGGGACGCCACCTCTTCCTTGTCTAATAATTAATCACTGGTTATTAACGACCCGGATTATGCGTGCCACCTTCACCTCCCATGGCCGTCCGCGGCCAGCATCTACACGCCGATGCTGGCCTTTATTCACATACGTTAGATAAGCGGCGATACGAAACGAGCGAGATGCCTATGATTTTTCTCGACTTTAATTTTCTAGAGTACGCAAATTATCAGCAACAAAGCTACAACCAGTACAGCCAGCCGCCCCCGTCGGCTGGCACACCCGACACATCTTACCCGCCGCCGAACACGGGAAGTGGCTCTTCCTACAATCAATATAGTCAACCGCCGCCAAACTATCAGAACTACCAGAGTTATCAGGATAACGATTCTAGCCAAGATTACAATCCAGGTCAGAACCAGGGTGGATACAACCAAAGCAGTTACGGCAGCGGAGGTTCCAACAACGGCAGCAGTGGCAATAACTATGGTAGTAATTATGGGAGCGGAAACAGTGGTGGCAGCGGTGGTGGAGGATACAGCCGAGGCAGTTCGGGAGGAGGATACAATAGTGGTAATGATCGTCATTGTTAGGATGGTTGTCGTTTGCGCTTGAGGGATTCGCAGTGTTGCGAGCGAGCCCATCTTGATCCCTGGCTCGGATAAGCTCTTGTTCTTAGCGTTGATTGATAGTTGAGGAGGCATTAGGCTTGAGATGTAGATTGACTTTGAGCTTGCCAGCTATAAGTATAGAGCTTGTCAGGTCACTAATTCTTTGAATTTTCGAAACTAGGAGGCGGTGGTGGTGGTGGTGGCGGCGGTGGCCGATATGGCGGCGGAGACGATCGAAGGGGATACAGTGATCGTTCAGGTGGTAGCTACAAGTAAGTTTTAAATTTTTTTCTTATTTATTTACGCTAGAGGAATAACAACGAAGAAATGATATGTTATTGTATACGCATACAATGGATATTAATTCATTATCCGAATGGATAAAGCGGAATGGTTGGTACTTGAGTAAATAAAGGTAACTCAACTTATAAAATTTCTGAAACAAAGGTTTAACCATTTAAAATATCGATGTAAATGAAAAATACACTTTCTTATGCAAACGTTTAATGCTCTGCGGGGCTTTAATATATTTAAAGTGTGTCTACAGGTTTAACACACATATTCACAGAATTATACAGGTAAAATTATAGACAGGTTGTATATGACAGTTTGACACAAAAGGTTTTGACGTATGGCTACGTATCAATGCTGCATACTTACGCATATTTTTAAGAAAAATTGTATCTTCTATGAGATTTGCATGGCTCGTTACATACTCAAAATCAATGTTTTTCGTATGATCTTCAAATTTAAGGGGACAAACGTAAATATCTTTTGAGCAATGTTTTTCCTTTTTTTTTTCTTTTTTTTTTTCCCCTTTTTTTTGTGAGACGATCTGTATTTTTTTTTCTTTTTAATAATTTAAAGATAGTTTAAACACCTCATATATGTTGTTAACTTATTATATTATTATATTTTAACGGTTTGTACTATGTAATAATGATTGTTTAAATTGTTTCAAATTTATTTTGCATTTTGTAAAATTCATATATCGTACGAGCATGAATGGTTGGAGGGATGAGTGAACGTATGGCTGGCAAAAGTGTGTCAAGAGAAGTGGATGAACGGGAAAAGATACACTAATGTATATTTGGTGCCATATTTGATTTCTATTTACAATTTGTGTAAAGTAACATGTATTATTTTATTCAAGTATTACGCATGATTGAGACCCTTAAGGACTGACAAGACAAGTAAATTTAAGTCCAAACTTCTAGACTATGTAATGTGGTATTAAAGACTTTAGACAGTAGGTACACCAAGAAGAATAAGAAGTGGTGGTGAAGCAGCATATGAGTAGCCACACATCGATTGAAATCTGTCCATGAGTCGACTCATTGGTATATCTGCTTCTGTGTTTTAGCAGTGGCGGTGGCCGTGGTGGTTATAACAAAGGTAAATGCACCAGACTCTCTGTACAAGTCTGGTGCTATTTATGCATTCACTCTAATATTTAGGACTTATTAAAATACCTGGTCGCTCTGATTATATGAAAGGGCTGCCGAAAAAAGCGCATCCATTATCCCTAAGGATTTCCCTAAGAAAAGAAATGAAAAAAAAAAAATAATAAAATAAAAAAATAAAAAAAAAATAAAATACTAACTTAATAGTATTGGCATAAAGAAGATTATATTTTAATCACCAATTGCTTTTTCCCATTTATTCGTAAATTTGTCTACCTTTAAAACGTATTTAACAACTTTCAGTTTATGACTTCCTCCTATTATAATTTCATCTTTAACAAAGTCATTGCATTATATGCAGAACTTTTATTTTTAATTATTTTTGAACATATTTCTATTTTTTAAAAAATAAATAAATAATAATAATGATAATAATGATAATGATAATAATAATAGTAATGATAATAATGATAATGATGATGATGATGATGATAATAGAGAAAAAAGATAAAAGTCTAGAGAATGATAAAAGATAAAATCCAAATTGTATTTTTAACATCGACAAATAAACAGTAAAAAAGAAAAAAATTAACAAATTGCTATTATCTTTACGATATACTGCGTATTTTTATGGCAAGGTTGTGTGTTAGGTAGTTATAAAAATATTGAGTTTAATGAGTATTAATGAAATATTTACGATTTCAACAATAAAACTTCCTTTTCTGAAAAGGAGAAAAGATGCAAACGTGGTTTTACTTACTCTTATGTGTGCAATAAAAGGCAGCTGGTGGAAAATATAAGAAAAAAAAAAAAAAAAAATATGAAATGGTATTTGCGTATTCAACAAAATGAAGTATATAGCTGAGGAAATGCTGCAGCCCTTTTGTATGTGAAGCTGCAATCTGATCTTTAATAATTTGTCGTCGTACACATTGGGCTTTTCTCATTGTGACAGATAAAAGAGTCTGGCCAATGAATTTTAATTCAAGCATACATGTAATAAAAAAAGGATTTTACATATATTAGGTTACCGAAGCTGAATTAGAATTAAGCTTATGAGAAAGAAAATTTACTTCGATGAAATTCATCGGTTCATTCATGAAAAAAAAATAATAATAAATCAATAAATCAATAAATCATTAAATAAAATTTCGTAACTTTAGGCAGACATTTGGAGTTAAACGGTAAAACTGTGGTATGAATATAAGAAATAAAAATGAGACTACAAATACATAACAAAATAGTAGTTAAGTTACAGTATGTGTTCAATGGTTATTTAACTACATAAAATTACATCGGTATGGAATATATATTTAAATAATGTTGCATTCTAAATGCAATTCAAATCAAATATAAAATTAAACTGATAATAAAGCTGAAAAAATAAACTGGTTTTTAATACAAAGATCACCAGCAGTAAAATTAGCATATTGTTGTGACGAAGCTTTAATAAAGTCCACTCATAAAGTATAAATAACGTTAAAGTTGTCAAAAAAATTAGTTTAGTTTCTTAAATAGCTGTAGGAAATTTTGATCTTACGAATATGTAGATTGGACAATTGTTAACGAATGATAACTATTCCAGGAGGATACGGTGATCGCGGCAGCAACGACGGAATGGTTACGCAAGAGGATACCATATTTGTATCTGGGATGGATGCCACCATCACCGAGGAAGAAATTTGCCAGCACTTTGGCGCTATCGGTCTCATAAAGGTCAGTAGTTGTCGTACTCGATCGAATAATCGACAAAATGAAAGAATTTGAAAAAAATTTTTAAAAAATTCTAATGATTTTGTTGTTCGGCGACGATCTTTGTTCGTTGTGCATTCTATACCTACATATCTCCCATCGGAGTCCTTCAAACTTATAATATTACGATCGACCGTAGACGTAATTCCATAAACATTTCAGAACGATAAACGCACTGGCAAGCCCAAAATCTGGATGTACAAAGACAAAAGTACGGGCAAAAATAAAGGCGAGGCGACGGTGACGTACGACGACCAAAATGCCGCCCGTTCAGCCATCGATTGGTTCGACGGCAAAGACTTCAAAGGCTGCAAAATTAAAGTACAGATTGCCCAGCACAAGAGCAATTGGCAAGGCGGACGTGGAGGTGGCGGCCGAGGCGGCGGTGGCCGAGGCGGAGGTGGCCGTGGCGGTGGTGGTGGAGGAGGTGGCGGCGGCGGCGGCGGAGGCGGTGGCGGTGGCTACGGTGGCGGTGGCGGTGGACGCGACCGTGGCGATAGAGACCGAGGTGGTGACGGAGATCATCGCCGAGATGGTGGCGGCGGAGGAGGAGGCAGCGGCGGTGGATCCCGTGGCGGAGATTGGCGGTAAATTTAACTCTCGAGAGTGATTATTATTACCATCAGTGTCAACTCGGCTTGGCAGGATTACTTTCCATTATTACAAACTTTTTTAACGCGTTGATCCTCCTTCCTTTCACACTTTTTCTGTTTGTATTATACACGTATAAGAGGCACAATCATGACTTGAATAGTTATAAAGGGAATGATTAGGATAAAATATTAATGAAATATAAAAGAAGAGATTTCGTTTCGCGGACAATGGAATTCAGTCGCATTCCATTTGTTTTATTAATTTGTTTTACAAATAACGCGTCTTATGCAAATTATTAGTATCTAAATTACAGAATTTGCAATCATTAAAATTTATACAGACACACACACACACACACACACACACACACATATATATTTTAATGCTCACTTTTAGTAAACGGGTGCTATAAAATATAATTTTGTCAAGCTCAGGTTTTCACTGGTAGCAATACTCTTTAAGAGATAATTATCAAATTTTTCTTCCACAAAAGGGTTTTTTTTTTGTTTTTTTTTTGTTTTTTTTTTTTTTTGCTCTACCTGGTAGAATCTATGAATGTTGACTGTTCATGCCTATATTGTGAACTCTTTTTAATTGAAACTTTATTCCATGCATATGTAAAAATTTGTCGACCCTGTAAAATTTTATAAAGATTATGAAAAATTTAATGAAAAATATACGCTATTGTTAAAATAATTTTACGGGTATATATATATCATGAAATCGATTAAATAAAATAATAAATAAATAAGAAAAAAAAACTGTTCACATAATCGCTCTGACGAACAGAAGAGTGGACATTTTACAAATACATATGTACTTTGGATTGTGCAAATTTTTTTTTAACGAATTTATCGCACTTTTATCGAATTTTCTTAAATATGCCTTCGATTGTGAATCGGAATTATTCGTGAATCTTTACGTAACATTAAATAAACATAAAAAATTACAACGTCCATTCACGATAAATTGCATTATATACTTTTAGAATTTTGCCCTAATAAAGATTCAAAATTTACAAAGTATATTTTTGGTTTAAAAAAAAAAAATAATGAAATCACCTTCCGTTTTATTTAATTTAATAAACAACTTACGCTGAATTCGGTCCTCGCTCAAATCTTTTATCGTTTATTCGAGCGGGACAACAATAACAAATATCATTGAAAGCAGCATATAAACATATATTTACCCGCCAATCCACTGTGTTCTTAAACATTATAAATTATCCCATCCTGTTCACATATCACGCCCAAATATTTTTTTTATCAGAGATTGTCGTTAAACGCACAATAAAGCAAGCAAAACAATTGAGAATAAAAAAAAAAGATCATTACCGAAACGTCTGTTTGTAACGTGTGAAGGTGCCCTAACCTCAGCTGCAGTAACACGAACTTTGCTTGGCGTGATCAGTGTAATCTTTGCAAAAGTTCCAAGCCAGAAGGAATGGGAGGCGGCGGTGGCGGTGGCGGTGGCGGCGGCGGCGGCGGCGGCCGAGGTGGCGGCGGCCGTGGCGGTGGTCGTGGTGGAGGTGGCGGTGGCGGTGGCGGCGGCTTCAGAAGTGACAGAGGCGGCGGCGGCGGTGGCGGTGGCCGTGGGGGCGACAGGGGCAGCAGAGGCGGCTTCCGTGGTGGCGACAGGGGCGGCGGTCGTGGCGGCGGCCGAGGAGGTCCCATGAGAGGCGGCGGAGGGTCAGTTTTATCAATTACTTTCTTTAATTGTGAAATTTTTTTTCAATTACCAATTACTACCGCATTATGTTTACCGAATAATTTGCCTAAAGTGACGAGTTTATCCAAAGGCGTTGAAAATATTTAAGAATAAGAATTCATCTTTAATGTGAGAGTGTTGCATATGTATTTCAACTATTTGCAATGCAATAATAATTATGAAACTGATGTTTAATGAGAGGGAAAGAAAAAAAAAAAGATCCCAACAATGCCACAATGTCATTTATGCTACAATCTGTTTGATTATAAAAATTTGTTTATAATTGTTTTAAATTTTTAAATTTTTAAATTAACAATTATTCATTGATTGTTCATTTTATTATTTTCATCGGTATTATATTGTTCGTTACTTTATTCTGACTTTTCTTTATTAATATATCAAATTTTACGTATAATTGTTATTTAAATTTAATGTACGTCGCTTTCCATATATTATCAACAATGCTTTTGCAACTAAGCAAACTAAGCAAATTCATATGCATTGCTGTTTTAGAATACAATTTAAAATTTAATATCTCGCACGCTGGGTCATTTTCATTTTAAATAAATTACATATAATCTGTAGTTTATTCATAAAAACTTTTCGTTGGTGGTAATGTAGTATCAAATTAAATTTTCTAATTTTTAAAACATTTACAATTTCTCTATTCGTACAATCAAATGATATTCTGTCATTCATTTAATTTAATAGCGGCAAAAGTAATTCTGTCTGTTACAATACTATGGCCTTTAGATTCTGCACTATGTATGCAGATTGGAAATTTTATCCAGCTTACGACCTACAAACAAAAGAGAATAATAATTAAACTGTTTATTTTGTTGTTTTTTTCGCTTTTATTTCTATCGAAACAAGAAACAAAAAGACGTTGAATTAATGGATTTAAAATATTCGCGTTAGCCAGAGAGAATTAACTAAATTTAATAAGGCAAGAAGATAATCGGTAGAGTAATTGTAATTGAAAGACCAATTGTAGAAAACTACCGAATATAGAGGAATATTACCTGTGACAATAAAATATCGTGCCATTTTACTTTTTAATTACAGACGTGGTGACAGAGATCGTGACCGCCAACGGCCCTATTAAATTCCTCGTTGCAGAGGAGCAAATAAGATGACACGTGTTGGCGATATGTACACAAGCAGCGAGCATGTAAATTTTTTCAGAACCCTAAAAGTACACACATGTTTTTGATGTGTCATGTTCGTGTTCTTATTTTTTACACATTTTCATTGAATATGAGAATGCCTGTTCTCGGAGTTGATTGAGTACGATCCTGTTTCCCCCCAAATACACAAAATGTGTCCTGATTATAGAGAATGTAAGAAAGAAATGTAACTTTCTTAATTGAGAGATGAAATGTATTAAAATTTTCTAAAGACTGTACTACTGCTTCTATGTAATTAAAATAAACTACGATTTAAGTTACACTCTTGACAGAATTAATTATAAAACTAGGTTTTAATAAAAACAGTCCTTAGATATTTAAGAATTAAATGGTTTTATTTTTATTTAAGACAAAACCTTCCTCGTTAAATACTACAATTTAAATTTATTAGTAAATTATATATGATAATTGGTTGTAGTTTGGTAACCAATTATTTACAAATACTTACTACAACGGTCTTAATTTTAACTTATATACTAAGTAATATTATTTTACTTATATTTACAAAGATTGAATTTTTGCTTACATTTTATTTGCGAACTTCTTGTACTATTCACAAATTGTATACACAATTTCATTAACAAAATAATTACTACGAAGAAAAAAAAAAGAAAAAAAAGTTGAAAAAAATTTTCAAATTGAACTATTTATTTACAATAATAACGCTTTGTGACATTCGAATGAAGATATGACCTATTCTCATGAAACTTTTCAAACCAAAGATCTTTCATTTTCACATTAGAAACGACAAAATTACCAAATATACTATTAATAAATAAATATATGACTACCAATTTTGTGAAAGTAATAGATAGAAATCAAGAGTGAATAATTTTCTTGTAATAAATTATACAAATGCCATATTTGATAAAGAGGAAGACTCTTTGTACGCAATGTTTGATGAACAGAAATGATCACTTAACGATCACGAATTTGAATGTTGCGACGGTGTCAATCCTCCAGAATGTTCGGGACTGTGTTTTTGCTTTTTCCGTTTCTTTTCTTTTTTGCGCTTCTTTCTTGCTTCTTTCTCTTCATCGTGACGCTTTTGCTTTTTATGTTTCTTTTCGTGAGTATCGGCACCACCAATGTCAGTTACCGTTGTCTCTTGTCCACTGGGTACTTCGCCAGGTTTATGTTTATGCCTTTTATGTTTATTTTTATGCTTTCTTTGTGGAGCTTGATTTATATAACGGTATTGTTCAGGCAACTAGAATGAAGAAAATTACGTTTAATTCTTAATTTCAATTAAATAGCATACCGAATTTAAGGATATAAAAATAAATACGAGAAAACATACCGGGCCGGGATGTAATCTAAAACCAGCTAACTGTACACTCGTCAATGGAAGAAGTTCTTTACCACCGATCGGTGGCTTTTCAATCACAGATCTTAAAGAACTACGCATAAAGTAAGTAAATATTTAGCGGAACTAATACATTGTACGAATAGGCTATTAATACCAACCTATTGTCTTGATCACCAGGAGTATCGATAATACCGGGTAAATTTGGCAAAAATGAGGATAATTGCTCCTTGAGTTTTTTCCCACTAAATTTACTATATGAGTGTTCTAGGCCATAATAGGCCATTAAATTTCTAGCTCCCGTTAATTCGCTTTCTCCTACAAAATTATTAATATACCACAATGTTTACAAAAATAAGAATTAAAATAATAAATATTAAATGCGCAAGAAATTGCAAATTAAAATTACAAACGAAATCCGAGTTGATCAGTTCAATTTTCAATTTACATACATATTTAAATTAACGATATAAGCTATGAAAAACATGACTGCAAATTATTACATACCAGGAGGTTCTTTCATCAAATAAAACGGTCCACTGTGAACGATAGATGGATTTTTTCCAAGCGAAATGGTTGTTTTTAAAGTGCCCGTTGAATCCTGCCGCGAAACGACAGGAGAACGGGCACCTCTTGGTGAAGATTTTGGCGAGTATTGCTCCACTTTGCTGCGAAACTGATCGCTCATCATTGTTCTAAGACCTTATTTCATTGCACTTTCACCGAGAAATCTGATAAAGATGTCGCCAAATGGTTGACGCCTTCTTCGATACTTCACCCAGTCTGAGATGTTAAATAAATTCCTGAAGAAGCAAAATATTTAAAGCAACGTATTTTATGGGCTTACGGGAGAAAAGGAAATAAAATAACACTGCAGATCTATTACTTGGCATCGGATTTACAAATTCATATTGAATGCTACAACCTTCAGATACCAAGATCTTCCATGTTCTAAGCAATACTTAACTCACTGGAGTAATATCCAAACTCATCGGTATTAAATTGATCAACATATTATAATGATTATAGCCGTAAAAAAAATATTATAAATGCATAAATATCGATCGTCGTTCGACACGAAAATGTGTGTTAACGTTACGTGCATGTAAAGCATTGCCGAGATGATGATGCGAACGCAATCGAGTACATAACCTAACTCTCGCGGTTATCCCTTTGTCGCCGAAAATCCAGACACAAAGTGAATGGTTATTTTATCGGCAAACGCGCGCTAGCTTTTCTTATAACCTTATCAGTCACTGCATCTAATATACAATAATATACTTAACATACTTTGTAATATAATCACCATAGCGTTGACAGCGACGAGCGTCAAATCCGTGTGGTGTCACAACCCACAGCAGCGTGACCAACTTTTCACATACTCTCTTCTTAGTTTGTATTTGTTTGCTAACTGATTCTTCGCTACACCACACTCAAGGCCAATTTAAGGAACAATTTTCCTATCCCCTTCTTAATGGGCATGGAAATTAAGGGGGCCCGATGATAAATATGTATCGGCGGAGGACTTTACGGGAGGCGGCCCCTCGTCACACGCGTTTTCTCAACTGCGAGATGCAAAGAAAGTGAAATTTTTAAAGGGGATGTTTTACACAGTGACGTCGGCATAGATGGCGCGCGTTTAGAAAATATTCATGAGGGCAAGCTCGTCGCGTGAGTCCCACAAGCCTTAGGGAAACAAGCTGTCTGCAGGTGGCTATTATTCGACGATTATTTCATTTCCTCAGTCGCCCTCGGCCTACTTTCCTACATTAATATTAAAGCGAAAGTTAAGATTTGCTTGTCACCGAGGCCATATCTTGACCATTCGAAAGCACACGTTCAAATGGATGGCGCATCGACCGTGATCTCCAAGTCTACGACTACAATTTGCAATTCAAGAGCTTATTAATGCATAATAATGTTATTGCTCGTGTATTTAGGTAGCAATGGCGATGATCCTTAATATCAGGTCCTTCGTTACAAACTTATTATTTCTCTCGTTGTTGTGCAGCGAAGAAGCCTCTAATGCCGATTGATTAGACTTTTTGGCAGAGCACTACTACGATAATGCTTAACCAAAGCAACTTCAACATCATAAAATTAAACAAATTTTACCGCCCAATTATTAATAATTTGTCATTAATTTTCAATTTCTATACAATTTAATTTGCCACGATGATAAATTGGTAATTTTACCATCGTTCTCCTTGCCCTTTATTTTGTTTTTTCGACGAGCAGCGGGGGCGGCGGAGAGTGGGGGGAGGGGGGGGGGCGGGGGAGGGGGGGGGGGGACGAAAGCGGCGACCGTGGGGGTGGAGGTGGGGAATCACACTTTTACCGCGCTATTGCGATGACAATTTATTGTATTTTTAGCTTTAAGTGGAAGAAATTTTGAACGCGCGTTGACCATCTTCTATTACGATGAAATGGCGCGAACGGACAAACAATTTGAAATTCATTACTTATAATCGCGAATTAATAAACGGGCGCAATGATACACTATGATTTATATTTGGCGTAAAAGATATGTAAAGCTGACATATTAATTAAATGTACAACAATAATTCACTTATTGAAACTCACCGAGTGCTTGAGTCGACGACACTGGAAAATTTCTAGCGGATAACCGCGCCGATAACCCTGAGTCACACATGTCCAAAAAAATACACGCACAATCGCTACTACAGTCAATTTCATCAAAGTCAAACTTTCTGTCAGGTATTACATTAATTTGGATTTATACAATTTCACATTTAAGATACAAGGGCAAGAAAATATATCACTCGAGTAGCTAAAAAATAAATAAATAAATAATAATGAAAAAATTAATAAACAAACAAGCGCGCGCGCGCGCGCGCGCGCACACACACACACACGCACACGCACACACAAGACGAAGAAGAAGAAGAAGAAGAACAACAACAACAACAACAACAAACAAACAAGCAACAATAAACAACAAACAACAGCAACGACAACAAACAACAATTCGTAAATTGATTGACTACCTGTTTTATTATATTTTTTGACGTCTATTTTGGGGGGTAACGATTCAGTAAGACCATATTCTAAATCACGCGAATTCACCACATCTGTTCGATAAAATGTTTTGGAATGCAAATTTTTGTTTTTTTCAGTCGTAATTTGAAGATGTGCCGCGGTATATTAATACTAATACTAATATTACTTGCTTTAAGTACGACATATTTGATCGTCGTTCATCCATTTTAATGAAATCATCGATTTTAATCGGCATCGGCAATTACATTAAATTAATATTTAATCATTTACAATTGATAATGAGCATCCGCTTTACAAGTCGCATCGATGTCTTTATAAGTACAAATTTTTTAACAATATTTCTAATGCTGTTCGATGAAAAATTCTTTATAAACGTAAAACATTGCTTAAGCATAAATTTTTAATTAAGTATTATTTTTAATTAAACCTTATCAAAAGAAAGCAATACAAAAAGGATTTTTTGTTATATCTTCGAAGGCTGAATTTCTATTAGTGGACAATTATTAATGATCATTACTGTCGATACCTATATCTTTCGCAAACCTCGGTATTAAGCAATTTGTTTAAATTTTATTTAATCTCGTTGGCTTTAGGACCGAGAATTTATAGAACAAGGATAGCACAAGTCTTCACCGTGACAATACAAATTGATCAATGAACATAATAAATATTATAAAATTGTTTTATCGTTTCATCATGAGATTTGAGAAAAAATTGACTCGCTATTATTATTAAATCAGCGGTGTTTGATGAGACAGAAAGCTTTATTATTTGATTTGATCGAGCCCATAACATATAAACTAAGAGTTATCTTGTTTACGATCACGTAAACTTGGCTCATTTCATTGGATTACCTTATAATCTTATTTTAAGTGATTGGCGCATATTTTCATGGTCAAACAAAAACAAACAAACAAACAAAAAATGTGGCGGGTGGAAGGGGGAAGGGGGGTGGGGAAATTTCTACTTAAAACATTAAATTTAAAAGTATTTTCAGCGTCTTGGGTAATTTTCATTAAAAGAAGCGTTGAAATTAAAATGATAAGTTTGTGCAGTTAATTATATATATATGTTTATTTAATATATCACCCACTCAAACATATAAGTCTCGTATCTCAATTGAGAAAATTATATTAGATATTTGTTGATTATTCAGTCCACAAGATAGGTGTTATAATATCTTATATCATCATTATTAAAGAGTATAATCAGAGCTCGAATGTCGTATAGTTTTTATTTTTCAATTTTCGTACAATGTCGTTTCCATTACTGCCAATTATATTGTAAAATTGAAATAATCCAAGCATATCGGTTGCAGATTTATACCGAAGAGTTTTATTATATAATTTTCTATAGTCTAGTACAGTCTTGAAATGTAAATTCACATTGAATATATCGTGGTTGATAACTTTTATAGAATAAATATAATATTGTCAATGTAAACGAAGCAATACATCAAGGCTTTTTTTTATTTATTTATCGTTTTTCTTTTTTTCTAAAAATACTAATATTTATAAATACTCTAATCTGAATCGATGAATCATTGATATAAATAATAAATAAATAGTATGTACAAATCATGATTGAATACGATTCTATCATAATTTGTAAATATAATAAGGTCCCTTGCTAAATGCCATGTGTTATTAATTTTTTTTTTTTTTTTCTTTTTTTTTCTTTTCTTTTTCTGTTAATTTCTATCAATACAAAGCATCAATTATATTAAATAATTTTTCATTTCCGTCGGCTTAATATAATCACTGCATGTATATACACGCACACATAAATACATATATCAATAATATGAGTGATAATGATTGAATTTAGATTTATTTCAATGTTTCTTTCATGATCTATAATTTTTATGCTCTAAGCATGCCGCATAAATTAGTCGGCAAAATTATAAAAAATTCTGAAAATATTTTGTAATTTTGTAATTGTGATGACGATACATGGAACCGCTAATAGTGTACGATGCTATACGGACGAATTTTTATTTTTGTGTTTTTTTTTTTTTTTATTTTTTTTTTTTTGTTGTTGTTTTTGTTGTTGTTTTTTTTTTGTTTTTTTTTTTTGTCTTTTTTTTGTTTTTTAATTGCCATATACTTTCTGGAAAAACTTTGATCGATTGGTTGAATACGTAATAATTACTGTTAACGAAAATCGAATCCTTTTATTATATATGTGTTTTAGTGGAATGGATCTAACGAATATACAAATAACCATGCAAGCGATTCTTGATTGTTTAAGAATTCAATTGGATTTTCTTAATGTTATTACTGTTTCTGTGTATTTTTGTGATTTCGCGTCTCCTGCGAAGACTCTACGAATTCTCTTTGATGTTGCCGTTGATTGTCCTTCGGTTCTCTGTATTTGCATTCCCTATGATACTCCCTGGCATCTTGATCTCTCTGTTCTTTCTGATCTCTGTACAATTTTGTACGTCTGTATTTTCTGTTTGCTCGGTTCTCCGCATTGTAATGGCCAGCATTGTGAAGTCCAGATTTGAAGTTATTCGAATAATTCGACGTTTTTCCAATACATACATTGCCACTTTGTAATTGTGGTAAGACTGTGTTATCAACGTCCGCCTCCGCGTCTTGCCTCTCCTGATGATGCTTACTATTTCTCGGATAACCCGAATGGGCTTTGTGATCGTAACTGTAACAATTTGTTAATATTTTTTTATCGATTGATAAATTTAGATTAAACAATCGAATAATTATGTACAATTGACAGAAAATTACTTTCAATTTAAGCCAAAGTATATTGCCATTAATTATTTATTGATTTATTGTTTTATTTAATTTTTTTTCTTTTTCTTTTTCCTTTTCTATCTTTTGTTTCTTTTTGCTTTTAAAATCTCAATACCTGTGATTGCCTCGAGATGCTCGAAGCCAATAACTTTGAGTCTGCAAGAGTGGAAATTTATGATAATTATCGTCTTGGCCTTGGACCTCGTTCGCCGATCCATGATTGTGATTATGTTTGTATTTCCGGCTTCGGCTATTGCCACTCTTGCTAATGTTGTCGTTGTTAGTGTAAGAAACAGCTGATTTCATCGTTGCAATCTCCTCGAATTGGTCCATGTTTTTTTGAAGTAATTTTTTGACTAACACTTTTGCATCATCCAAACGAGCTTGCAATTCCACTTGTTCGGATTCGAGTACACGATCGACTTGGATACTAATGTCCGTCATTTTTTGCTTTTCCTTTGATTTTTCGCTCAACTCTAGGGTCCTACAAGGATAAAAATATCGAGTTAGGATTTGTTTTTCTGGCATCGAAATGCCTTTCTACGTCACTTACTTTTTCAATTTTTCGATCACTTCTGACAAGTAAACGTTACGCGTTTTCGCCTCGTTCAAATTAGTTTTAATATCCTGCACATCTTTGTCTGATAGTTCGACCTGGAGTGGCGTGACATCGTTAATCGACGCCGGACTCTCCTATTAGAAAGGAAAAAATTACTTTTAACTACCAATTTCGTAACGAATATTATAAACGTAAGATAAAACGACATTACATTTGCTTTGGTGAGATCAACTTCATTATCTTCGGGGATACAAGGACTAGTTGAATTGGAATTTGTCCCTTTGGAGAAAACTAATTGAAACTGTAAATCTGGAAAGGTGCGCAACATCTTTTATATTGTACCACCATCACTTACAATTATTACAATTTATTTTTCAAGTTGCAACGATTAATACCTCTATTCGTTTGCCGAAGTACTTCAACCTCTTGATGAAGAGCGACCAAAGTTGCCTCGTGCTGATCCTGAAGGAACTTCATATTCTGCTCTAATTGAGTGACTTTATCAACAATCTGCTTCAAAAATCTTCCTTCGTCATCCTCGTCGTTTCTGTTGGGTAGCGGAATTATTTCTGGCGGTGGTTTTTTTCGCTAAAAATTAGTAATCGATGAGAATGAACAGAATGAAAGATCATGTACAATTAGATTTTATTCATTCTTTTATTTTATTTATTTATTTTTTTGTTTTTTTTGTTTTTGTTTTTTTTTTTGTTTTTATTTTTTTTTTTTTTTAAAGACTTACTTGTGAGAAAGGTACAACTGGATGTTTCACGAGAACTTGGGAAGTCATATTTCAAATGTAAAACTGACGTTAACGTTTTATTAAAATGCAAAATTATACGCTTCACTCCCAATGGCCTGTAAAAAGAATATTTAATAATTAAGATCAACGTACTAGGGGATTTTACGTATCTTCCTCCCCCCCCCCCCCCTCCCCCACCCTCCCCCTCTCCCACGCCATTTTTTATTTTAATTTTATAATGAGAAAATCAAGGGTGAAAGGTTAAATGTGCAAGGACGACCTCGTCTCGCATTTAGAGATTAGATGAAAATTTGAATAAATGCGAGCAAAAATGTAGGCTAAAGGTTCGTTAAATAATTTATATTAAATGTCCGTCTGATCGGAACAACGATCATGCATTTACACAGCGCCGAGTGCCAGTTAGCAAGAAATCTTGGTGAGAAAGATTATTAATTAACAAGCCCAACTTCCAAACGGGAAGTCTCCATTAAATGGGCATATATTTTATTATATATTTTACTTAAACAAGCACGAGCAAAAAATTCACATTCGTGCACGTGATCGAGCGAGCATGACATGACAACGTACATCTCGCAAACCCATATGTACGGCAATCCATCCCTTTTCACGACTCCTTTCCACCAACTACCTACAGCCCCCTCACTCACACATACCAAGCCCACACGGATTTACGGACGTTCGTAGCTCGCCCTCACCGTCCTCCCCATTCAGCGTACTCCCGAAATGCTGCCGCAACAGGACTCTGGCAGCCTAACGACCTTTTGTCGGCAATTTATCGATCACGAAGATGAAACGGCGGATGAGAAAGAACAGGAGGATGCAAGTTTAACCGCGCACTTACGGTTACCGTGTCAATGATTCTGAAGGGAAGAAAGGACGCTCTCTCGAGGAGATCGGCCTCGATGCTCGGGATTCCGAAAAGGCGGAGACGTCGAGCCCGGCTACGAGGAAGAAGCGCAGTATACCGAGCCGCGCGCAATATATCTATTCGTGCACGCGAAGGGGCTATTGATCCGAGGAGCGCACCCTTCTCCTGCTCCTCCTCCTCCTCCTCCTCCTCATCCTCCCACTCGCGCACCCCCGTGAACCTCGGTGAGCCGCACCCCGCGCTTCGTCCTCCCACTCCCACCCCATTCTTCACCTCATAATCCTCCTCCTACTCCTACACCTCTTTCTTCTCCTCATCATCCTCCTCCTCATCATCCTCCTCCTCCTCCAGCTACTCCTCTTTCTTCTACTCATCCTACTCATCAACCGTCGTTGCGTCGTCGTCGTCGTTGTCGTCGTCGTTGTCGTCGTCGTTGTCGTCGTCGTTGTCGTCGTCGTCGTCGTCGAAGTCATCGTCGAAGTCATCGTCGAAGTCATCGTCGAAGTCGTCGTCGAAGTCATCGTCGAAGTCGTCGTCGAAGTCGTCGTCGTCATTGTTGATATCGTCGTTACTTTGTCACAGTACATCCGTCTGTCTACTTACCAAATTATAATGCAACCGATAAATTATTATTGTTTGCTTGGCCTGTCGAGCAGGTGCGCTTTCGCGACTCTATGAGAGGCGCGACAATGAGCTTCATTCGATTGTGATGTACTACGCCATTGTCGACGCTGTTATACGTTCACGTACGTTACATATTCACATATAGCGAGTAAGAACGCTAGAGAGGTAGTGAGGTAGGGAGGTAGAGAGAAAGTGAGAGAGAGTGAGATATATATATATATATATATATATATATATATATATATATATATAGAGAGAGAGAGAGAGAGAGAGAGAGAGAATGATTGAGTGCGTGTGTGTGTGTGTGTGTGTGAGAGAGAGAGTGACTTAGAGGAGAATCAACTAAGAAACATCCGTTTTATTAACGTTTACACTACTTTATACAGAACGTTTTTCAAACAAAATTTATCCTAAACACATGACTCATCGTTGCGTACGAATTGATAATAATAATAACCATCGTTCGCGCTCAGAGTTCAGGCTTTTTTTAATGCACGTGTTCGTGGGGGGCTTTTTATTTATGTTCGTTTCCTGTTGAGTAAGTTATTTCCGATTATATTAAATGATTTTTTATAATTGAAATACACTTTTTATTAAAATTCTCTCTCTCTCTCTCTCTCTCTCTCTATCTCTATCTATCTATCTATCTATCTATCTCTGTCTATCTATCTATCTCTGTCTATCTGTCTATCAATCTGTCTATCTCTCTATCTCTCTCGACCTACAATTTACAGTAGTATAATAATTAATTTTTCTTTTATTTTTGTTCATTAAGTTTTCTAGGTACGTATTTAATAATAGATGATTCAATGTTTTTGCAATTCTTAATAGAATATATACAAATGTTTAAACGATATTTATTTAGATACCATTTGTTGATTAATCGTAATTCCAATACCCCGTGTTATTATGTCTTTTAAAAACTTATTTTTTTTTTTATCCTTCTTTTTCCCTTTGTTTTCCTATTTTTTCCAATCAAAAGAACATTATGCACAATACGGATTACGTATATATAAATTGATCTCCTTTTTAATGCCGAAAATATCTCTTGATCTTGTTACATATCTACTACATCGCATATATGGCACCAACACAATCAAAACAATTTTTAGTGTTCTCATTTTGCACGAAGTCCGGTATAAGCTAATGACACCGACACTTTTCTTCCTACGTCGCTCTAACAATTTTTATAAATAAAATTGATCGATCCAAGTGTTTGAATAATTTCCCGATGACGTAAGAATATTTTGATTAATAAGGAAGCCGAAGCTCATACGCAAAAGGCACTTAAGGTTAAGTCAATCACTTATTGTGAAAACATGAGTTTCATTGACTTCCCGAGGGTAAGAAATCGTTGCTGATCAATTCTTTTTAATGAATGTATTCATATTAATGGCAGTCTTCCAGAAGATGTTTTATTACCTTACAGTTGCATTATGCATTACGTTGTCCGGTATATCGTTGGTTTTTAATTAATATATTATTACTTTGCAGATAAGAATTTGGAATAAAATGTACAGATGAATAGTGTTTAATTATATAATTTAATCGGAATTCAATTGCTCGAGTAACAGGTAAGCTAGTTCGTGGAAAATTTAGAAAAAGTTATTCTAATAACTTTTAAACTATTTTAATAAGTATAATTATTATTAATTTATAGTTTTACCAATGGGCCAAACGCTTAGCGAACCGGTTACAACCAAAAAATCTGCCTGTTGTCGTGATTCCAAATATCGAGTGGGGAGCTCCTGCATGCAAGGATGGCGGATACAAATGGAGGATTGCCACGTGCATATATTATCCTTGCCCGATGATCCAGAAGCTGCATTTTTTGCTGTTTACGATGGTCACGGAGGTAATTTTTAACTCTCAATTTTCCTATTTCTCTAGACTAAGTCCATTAAATTGTTATTGAACATTAACGTCCGATAGGATCGGCAATGGCCCAGTATGCTGGAAAGCATTTGCACGAATATCTCACTAATCAAGAAGCTTATAAAGAAGGTGATATCGAAGAAGCGATCAAGAAAGGATTTTTGGAGCTCGACGAAGAGATGGAGTCAAATGAAACTTTAAAGCAATTACGAGCTGGTACAACCGTTATATCTATTCTAATTAAAGATAACATTTTATATTGTGTGAGTTTAAATGTTATTTTAGTATTGTAATTTTTATATTTATTACACTTGCATAATAGGTATTATTTTAGGCCAATGCGGGTGATAGTAGAGCAGTGGCAAGTATCAATGGAATTGCCTTACCTCTAAGCTACGATCATAAGCCCATGTTAAAAAATGAAAGAGACCGCATTATAGCAGCAGGTGGTTGGATAGAATTTAACAGAGTCAATGGATATTTGGCTCTGTCTCGCGCTTTGGGTGATTTTATGTTTAAGACAAATAAGTGCAAGAAGCCGGAAGAACAAATTGTGTCTGGTAAATTTGAGAAATTTATATCTTTGTAACCTCGACGATACAACTTTCTTTTACCAAATGTATTAATTATGTTTATAGCTCTTCCTGAAATACAGCGCCATGAGATAACAGAAGATTGGGAATTTGTCATATTAGCATGCGACGGTATTTGGGATGTAATGAGCAGTGAAGAAGTGGTGGACTTTGTAAGAAAACGATTGTCCGACACGTTAGCGGACAGCGAAGAAAACGATAGTCAACCTATAGATCCTGAAGAGATATGCGAACAGTTAATTAATCACTGTCTTGCACCAGATCTTATAATGGGTACTGGATGCGATAATATGACAGTTGTCCTAGTCTGTTTTCTTCATGGTAAACCGTATTCGCAAATGCTCCTTCGCTGTCAGAAGTCTCCTGAATAACCAAAATATACGTTATACTTCTTCCATTATGTTTGTAAATAATAACTAACTTGTGACCATCGTGTTTAACGTCTGATCTAATCGTTATCATTGTTATTGTATTTATTATGTATTTTTTCTTTGTAGAATTGTACATCGTAAAATTTATAAATATTTTTATAACTAAACTCATTCATGTTATGCGACAAATTTTGGAAATATTCTTCCATGCCTTTATTATTTACAATCCCGATCTTTATGGACAAAAACAATTTTATTTCACATAACATTCTTTTAATAACAATATTTATGGCTTATAGTCCATATCGGTCTTGTATAGAATTAACTGCAGCATTAGCAAGTGAACTAATTCTCCCAGCTACTTTGTTAACACCTTGCCTAACACTTTCACGAACATCGTCGAAGTCTACACCACCTCGTCCTCCTATATTCATGGAAAGTGATGAAGTTGGAGAAGTTGCATTTGACTGACCAGTTCCAAAATAATCTGCTGACGAAATACTGGACGATCCTTCAAAACGCCGTAAATTGTTTTTCTGCTCCCACTGAAATTTTATCATATATTAGAATTATTTTCATCCACTTTTATAATTAAATTTCTATCAATAAATCAAATTTCAAACAAAAGATAGCCTTACAACTTCTTTGATTTTATACAGATCATAAAAACAACTTATATTTACGACTTATCGGTAATTAAGAGATTAATTGTTAACAATTTTTTAATTTATTAGAATATAGAACTTTTATAAAATTTTATTTAATTACGGTAATAATTATCCGCGATAAAGTGAAGTAATGGTTAAACAGTTTCTCATGCTCGAGTACCGAATAATATTCGCGCTTGCAATAATCGATAATTTCTTATGAGATAAAAAAAAAAATAAACAAGCGGACTTTTGTAAACAGTATTAAAAATAGAATAAAATAAAAACAAATAATAATAATAATTACGCAATACAAGAATTCTTTGCAATTTAAATGTCATTGTACATCATTGCTCATTATTTTTATTCAACATTTATAATACATTTATCGTTAGTAAGATTAAATCAAATTTGGTAATTTAACAATTCAATAATATCGTTGATACTTTTTTTTATAAAGACAACAATTGTATATTAGTTATCAAGTTATTAAATGTACGTAATTATTGTTAAAAAATCTACCATTTAACATCAGTAATCCAAACTTATACTCAATATTCTGTATTATTATGTAATGTATATTGTAATTTTATAAAAAATTTCTTACAACGACTCAAAAGATAATGTTCAACTCATTGAATTTGATTGTAGACTTTTGAATAAAACATATAACGAACTATAAATTAACCATATTATAATTTATAGATATAAAAATATATAATCAGTTTAAACAAAAAAACAATTGGAAAAACAAACTTATTAATAAGCTAATTATCGGTCAATTATAAATCAGTTGATAAAATAAAAACATTTAATAAATGTATCTACATTTTTTTCAAAATAAATATAATTAGATTTCGATCAATTATTTTTCAATAGGAAAAAAAAAAAAAATGAAAAGGCAATAATAAATTATAGATTCAATGTAATTAAAAAAAAATATATATATTGATGCACAAAGTCAAATAAAATAAAACAAAATCGTTTGTGTAAAAGAAGGTGGGAAAAAATAATAAACTGCATAAATAATTTTAAAAAATTAAATACAAAGTAGTGACTACACGAGGTATGATTAATTTTTTCTAAAAAAATATTTATTGCTGCATTGAAAATTCTTTAATTTGAAAATTAAAAAATTTATATACTATAAATTTCATTTACCACTTGTGCATTATTACAATACTCAAAATTGTTTGCTACACTATAATTGACGATAATTAATAAATATTGTATCAAGCGTTTTTGTAGATGTTTATTTTATTAAAATGTATTTTATTATTAAATAAAGTTATCCCTTATCGATGTGCAATCAATGTATTACATTCTACTTTTATATAAAATATTTTACAACTACTTACAGTTATTTAGTAAATTTTTTTTTTTTTTTTTTTTTTTTAATTTAAGTAAAAAAGTTTAATTTACGTATTGCAAAGCTGACAGATGTTGCAAGATTAAAGCAATACTCGATATTCTGATATAAATACCGTTATTATTACCGTTATTATGATTTAATCATCGTTAAAAATGAATACCACAGTTATAGTCTCCTACATTTTTTACATTAAAAATATATGAGAAAAAATATAATTGCACTCCAATAAACGTTAACAAAAAAAAAAAACAAAAAAAAAAAACAATAAATAAAGAAAATGGTAAAGAAAATGGTATTAGCATAATCAATTGCAAATTAGCGGGAACTTTCGAAGTCATCTATAAATTATACGTAATTAAACATTAAATATACAAAATTAAGAATTTCTTTATAATAATAATAATAATAATAATAATAATAATAATAATAATAACAATAATAAAAATAAAAAAAAATTTTATTTTATCAAAACTTCGATAGAAATATGAGTATAAAGATCAAAACTATAATTTAAAATTAAGCTGATACTTACTGAATTATCATTCAGAGAGTCTTTGAAATATTGATCTGAACTAATAGCTTTTGCACTGCCAAATTTCTTTTGTGCTTCGTCCCCTTCCGACACTGATTTGTTAATACTTTTATTGGAATTTTTGTTACTAATCTGTGAAGTTATTTGAGATGAGTTTGAATATTGCGATGTTACTCCACGTCGCGGTAAATTTGGCTCTTCTTCAATAATAAATTCATCGGTTCTTCCTTTGGTATTCAATAAATTACTGGTAAATGTATTTGTTAGAGATTCAAAACCAGTTATTAAATAATCAAGATCCATATCGATGTCACGTAATTTTCGTTCAGGCGTTACGAGTTTTGAAGATGACTCTTGTGCTATTGTCTGCATATCGGTTAAGGCTGAGTGACTTGCACCGCTAAAGGACATTGTACAATTATACAACTACTTCCCTACTTCTATTGCAGTGTTATTTTTTATTCTTTTGCTTTGTAATTACAATGTTAACATTATCTTATTTATAAATGTTAACTTACCGCTTTGTATTGAAGCCCATTCCTAAACGTTCAGCTTGATTAGCTTTTGAGGGATCCATTTTTCGGGCTCTTTCTTCGACTATTTTTGCCTGCTCTGACAAATTTTGTTCGTAACGATAGGCTAAACGTTTTTCTATTTCTATCTTTTCCTCGTCGTTCTTCGGTGCCTCATCTTCTCTCCTCTCTTTGCCAGCCTCAGCAGCACTTTTTTCTATTTCCTCGAAATTTGTTACTATTCTTTGAGCACCTAGACCAATAGTTTTCTTTCCAACCTATTTGAAACATTCTTTTTATTAATAACAGTAATATAATATAAAATATTTAAAAGTTTCATATACCCCTGGTCGTTTTGGCTGCACTTTTCTAACGCCAATTGTCGGTTTCCTTTCACAAGCTCCAAGCATCGCAGATTCAGATATATTAACGGATGGTTCTAAAATTTCTTTCGAGCTTTCGGAAGTATCTAGAGCATGGATATTATCAGAATCGTGTATTTTATGATTTTCATTAACTAATTTTGTTATTGAATCTTCGTGAATATGATCTTTAGGCACAGTGGTTTTGGTATTATGTACATCAAAATTTTCATGAGCTTCAAAAAAGTCTACTTCGTTTTGAGGACTTTCTGGCTCAATGTGTTCCTCTATATGTAACTATAAAGAAATGAAAATTATTACTTCCAACAAAGTGTATTTAAAATTAAATTATTGATCGAAAAAATTATGGGAACTCTAAAATTTCAAAATCTTTTTGAAATTTCGCACCATTTAATGTATGTAAAAAGCAATTTGATTGTAAAAAGCAAATTGATATTACAAACAAACGTGCACTTATATATAATAAAAGATAAATATTAATAGTATTAAGTATCTAAAGAAAGAAAAAAAATTGTTAATATTTAAACTGTGAGAATTAACAATCGTTCAGTGGCTTGAAAACTTAATATATTTTCTCAGCTCACCGATAGTTTGTTTCGAAGAGAAGATAGTCGAACCTATAATTATGTTTAGTTTTATGAATTATATATTTATATTTGTTTACAAATTTATATTAAAATTAAAATTGTTACAATGAAAAACTTACTTTCGTTCCATGTTGTTGCATTGATTGAATAGCTGCCTGAGACAACTTTTGTTTATACTGTACAGCTGCTCTGGATGTATACTTTTGTTGCGCATCGGTAGTCGTACAGTTGTATTGGGAAAAGTACTTTCTCTATTAGCGAAAAGATAAATTAAATATCATTATCACGTATTTAAATTTTCATTAATTAATCCATCGCATCGACGTGGGAACTTACCGCATTGGCGTTTCCTCCCAATTGCATGCTTCTTAACTGCAGCCATGTCCAGTTAGTATCTAATTGAGTGGAACGTACAAATGTTAAATGAACTCCAAGATTTCTATGTACCGCTGAGCAATCTATGCATAAAAAAACACCGTACGTAACACTGGACCACGCTGGATTCTTCGCATTGCAATCAAAACATGCCTGTATAGCAAAAATTAGCAATTATGAGTCATTAATGAATTAATTTAGTACTTGGAAACAGCTGTTCAAGAATTTCACTTGTTTATCAGTTTAAATAGCTAATAATTATTGCTTCTGAATTCCGGTATTTAACAACTTAAGCAATTAGTGGGAATTTAATATTAAACAGGATTTCATACCAACAACAGTTCAGGTAAGAATTTAGCTAAGAATCGCTCTGTAGAATAATAATGATGCAAATTTCATTTAAAGGCATATTTAACATTTAATAAGTAAGCAAATCAATTTAATTAGCTGCTTATTTATTTAAACTGTATTATAAGAAAATATTGATAGGATGTAGACCTTATTTGCAGGTAAGGCACGTAATCTTTTAAAAACTTCTTCGATATCACTTTTACTTGGTGCTACATCTGCCATTTTTGACGTGTTATAACGTTAAACCGCGAAACAAGTGCATACACGATGTTCTTTTAGTGTAGCCAGAAGCGAATGTGGATCTTTAAATTTAACTTTTAAATGTTGGTAATGCCCGTTCTATTTATTGGCCGCACTGTCCGACGTGACGAAAATGAATGAGAAGTGTAAATGCAATACATTTGCGATAAATGGGGGTAAAATTTTTATGAAATTGATTATTACTATTCCTTTTATTTATTTATTGTATTATTCATTTTTCTTTCTAATATACTTTTACGATATTTATTTAAATATGATTTTAATAGACGCTTTTTAACATGCTATTATCTAGTAGCCGAATAAATACTTTGTAAAAAGTTGTAGGGTGATGCGTCGTTGTACTAATAAAATTTTATACAAATTAATAGCCTAAGCAAAACGCTTTATTTTAAGAAAATAAATTAATATTTGTTTGTTTTTTTTTTAATTTTTTTTTTTTTTTTTTTTTTTTTTTTTTTTTTTTTTTTTTTTTTTTTTTGTTTGTTTACTTCTCAATAAAAATTTATCTAAAATGTTCTCAATTTATTAACTAAGATTCTTTTATTATACACAATATAAGTATTAATTAATACATAATCCAGTCTTTCTATTTCTTCATAAAATCTGATCTTTGATGCGTTGTACTCGGCGAGTCGCTCACATTTACCTCCTCTTCCTCCACTTCTAAGCTGTTCAATCTGAAAAAAGTGATTACAATGAGACAATGGTAAACCATCGGTCGTTAATTTGATCGAATAGGAAAATTCTTATTCTATGTCTTACTCGTCTTGTTCAAGACTGTGTAGCATTTGAAATCCAGCATCTAAACTTGGTGGAAAACCCATTTCTGGGTCGAGCAATTGAAGCGTCGGTACTTCTCTATATACATTGCCAAATTCCCCAAGTTCGTCAAATTGAAGATTACTGGTAGCTTCGTCCAGCTCCATTCTGTAAATAAACAATAAGACGATTAACAACGATAGTACCCCCATTACAGATTACAGATATGGTTTACTTTGCATTGCAAATATTTAATTCGAGCTGCCTCTGTTGATCCATTTTTATTTCTACTCTTTGCTTCACATTTTTCTCATGTTTGAGAATATACTCTTGATAATAATTATGTAATCCTAAGATTCCTCCTACGTTAGCCTCGACAAGAACTTTTTCAAGGGCATCCTATACAAATGTAAAACAAAATCTATCTATTAGTCAAACGTTATAGTCAATTGTATTACTTGATTTGCTTAGCTTATACAATTATAACCCACCGGGAAACCGTAATTTCTTTCTTCCGACGCCACTTTCAATAAAAGACCCATCCGCTTTAAAAAATGATCCGCGACATCTGTAAGGGTGGCGATGGCGTAATCCGATGCTTTGTCGTATCCAATATGAGCCAAAAGAATGACAACGGCGTGCTTTAATAATCCTTGAACGGTAGCTGGCTTCAAGTGAGAGATGTTGACATGATTTTTAAATTTCTTCCTAAAGACAATTATCTCAATTAGTAACGTAAGATGAAAAATAAAATAAAATAGTTTTACCTGTTTGGCTTGTTAGGCAATGTAAAGCTATACGAATTTTTGGATAGCTCTTCCTGAGCTTCATCTTCGATTACAGTTATGTTTCTTAAGATAGTTCCATCCTCCTAAGAGTGGCGAATATAGTAATTGTAATAATATATGATTATTGACTGAAAAATTAAATCTAAACATCTAAATATACAATTACCATCGCTCTCAATTGTTGACGTAAATTCACAGTATTTAAAACCTGCAGATTTCCCAGAGGCATTCTGTAAACGAATAGAAAATATGCATTATTTTTTCAATGCCATTAATAAATAACTATTGGATAAGATATGTACTGTATGTATTCTGATTGTCTGTGCATTTGGTAATCGCAATCAGAATTGTTAGATTCATCCACAACTTGTCTCCAAATATTTTCTATAATGTCCGGGGTAATAACTTCTTGCTTATGAGTCTCTCTCACTGGAAGTTCACCCCATAATCCACCAGTAGTAGAGCTTTTGCTTGATTTCATTTTTCCTAATTTTCACTCACACAAACATTCGACTCCCATATGCCAAGGCAGCACGTATAATTATATTGTCGATTCACATTTTTATAAATTCATTGACATTTATTTATACTTGTCACAACATTTTAACATCGCTCATCGTTCGCTCTCACATTACCCGCGGCACTAAATCATAATTAACTTCGTAGAATCATTATTATCAAGCAATATATGATATTAATTAACAATAAATAATAAATCATGAACTTGTAGCGAGTGTTTGTATACAAAGAAAATTTTAGGTTATATTCATTAGCTAACTTTAAAAATATACGTTGTTAGTGCACGGTTAACTAGAATGTCGGAGTGCGATAAAACGCTTCGATTTCATTGAAGAGCCAATATACGGGAGCAAGTGTTTTGTAAATATTGTATTAAGCTCGAAATAATATTAAACCTTTAAAATTATTATTATCGAAGGAAGGGGTTGAATATTAATTATGGAAAGCGTAGCAGAATCAATTATACAGCGTGCCATTGACAAAGAAAAAAAAGAACAGTATACAATGGCATTGGTATTATATCAAGAAGGTTTACAAATGCTTATCGATGCCATAAAAGGTGTGTGTGCAAATTGTATAAATTTTATTTTAAAGATCTTATTGTTAAGTAGAAAATTATCTTTCTTTACACACAGAATTGAAGGATCCAGTTAGAAAAGTGTCTTTTCAAAATAACGCTAAAGAGTATATGGAGAGAGCTGAAAGAGTAAAAGCATTAATTGAAAAAAAAAAATTATCCGGCAAATATAGGGAGCATATAAAAATTGAAAGTAATGCGACTGGTTACGGATACAGTTCTGTATTTGGACGTTTTTTAGATGGGAGAGTGACACAAATTTGTGTAGAAGAGCCGTATATTAGAACATATCATCAGGTTCAGAGTAGAACATAAATAATATCGCACTGTTATATGGCAACTCTTATTATTCATTGATATTTTTATTGTCATTGACATTAATTATTTGATCATTTAATCGGTCACGTTATCCAATAAATAAATATACTGTATAACGCATAAAGATTCATTTATAACTACAAAATATGCTAATATATTAATTTAATAATAGAATTTCCTTAAAAATATATAAAATGTTGAATATTTCGGTAAAAAATAGTTGCTTGGATAAATATTTACATATTATATTTGTACTATGTATAATGTATTTTTAATTTTTAGTGTCAAAATTTTCTAAGATTTTGTGAATTGGCTGTACAAAAATGTCAGTCGCTATCTAAAATATCATTGACCACTACAAGTGAGAAAAACAAGAAAAGCGAGCAGTTAGAATGGTTAGAACAATTGAAAACGAGTTTAGCCGATCACCTTGTAACTTTAGACGTACAATTTTCAGAGACACTGCACGATCGACAAATTAGGTAAGTTACAAATTACCATGAATTGATTAAAATTATTTTTGAATAAAAGCATCTGCGATTTATTTTAGCCTTAATAACGGATGGATTATAAAAATTGGACGTGGTTTGGATTATTTTAAACCACCATTTTCAAAGTTTGTACTTGGATACTTTGATCTTGAATTAAGACCTTGCCTTGAGACGAAAGTTGACATTTTTCATCAGAGTCAGATCGAAGATAATAAGAAATAAGCTAAGAAATCAATAATTAATTGATGTATAGAGCTTTTTTAAAAAATTGTAAGCTTATAGAGTATTATTATAAAAATGTTTTTCAAAGTAGATTTTCAATATAGTGACTCTACAATTAAAAACTAAAATTATCAAATTCAAATGTATATTGTAAAGTTAAGCCTGTGGCAGTTGAAATTACTTGGAAGCATAGGTTCTATCTGTATTGTTACAAAATCTGTGTAAAAAACTTTCACGTTGATATTTAAATATTGTTATTGTATATAAAACACTTAACTAGACAATTTCGTTTTTGTACTGAATTTGTGAACTTATGTATGGCAGCTTTGACGTAAATAAGTATTATTAAGTTTAAGTGAAAATAATAGTTATTTGATAAGGCACATACAGTTTGTTCATAACTTGCTACATACTTGTATGACGATTTTTACTTATTAATTGTTTATTTGGATAAACGTAAAAATTTTAATTCCAGTCTTTGATTTTGCTGTGTACTGTCAATCTTATTGTAATCTTCCTTAAGCATATAATGCAAAATTAAAAAGTATAAATAATATATTCTAGGAGTTGGAATATTGAATGGAAATATTTATTACGATAGAATTTTTATTTTATATATATATATATATATATATATATATATATATATATATATATATTATCTATTTTACAATATAGTATAAAAATATTATGTACTAGTCGGTAGGTGTATGATAAAAATTACCTGTTTATCTATGGTATTTTCATGATAACAGCAATAGACATCTATGTGGATGCATAAATTTATCAGATTTTATGGCAATTGTAATAATAATTAATGACGACAATTTTAAAATGTAAGAAGCAAATTAATTTAATATTAATCATAATACTAATTATTAATTAAATAATAATAATAATTGTACTTTTTTTATAAATTGTTTTGATATTTTATTTCTTATGATTACCTTTATCAATTTCAAAGTTTCAAATTACATTAACAATATAAAATATACATTCGTTTATATGTATAATAGGTATAAATACGATATAGAGCAATAATTGTGAAAATTATTTAAATTTTCCAATGATTGTATATCAGTGTTAAATATCCGTCCTAAGTTTTGCAAGTATTTTAAAGATTTTTGCTTCTTTATTTGATAAAAATGGTAGAGATGTTTATAGATTATATGAATACCGAAGACTAGAAATTATTTTTATAACAAGAAACATTTTATATACACTCGCTGTTTCTTTTCTCTCTCTCTCTCTCTCTCTCTCTCTCTCTTATATATATATATTAATATGTATAAAAATTAATTTATTTTATTTTCTCTAATATTATTACATATGTACTTTATATTATATATATATTTTAAACAAAACATATATATATATATATATATATATATATATATATATATATATATATATAAATCTCGCTATCTTGATTGCATTCACAGTAATAAATTTTTAGCGTGAAAGTAACATCTTAAGTATTAATCCGTCATCGAACAACGCTTAAATAAATATGAATTCTAATTAATCGATATCGATAAATTACTTTTAAAATTGATGTTTCTGGTTTTTCTATTTCGGTGATTTATATTATTTTATATTTTTTTTTATTTTTTTTATTTATTTTATCTGTTTATTTATTTTATCAGTTCATTCGTACTTTAACGTGAAAAACTAACATGTCACATCTCGCATGGATCTTAATCCACTCGACTGTCACGTTACAATCAACAACATTAACAAATAAATAGTATTCCATGATTCTGATTGTCACTGATTCTCACGAAGCGAGCAAGCAACCAATATCGATAAATATAAATTACGAAAGAACATTAACGCGAAAATGAAATTTTTATTCGATTAAAGGCGATGAATGCAGCGGTACACAAGGTGACGCTCGGCACTCGACCTGATCAGCGGAACTTGAAATTTAGGCTGAGATCACCGTAAGTGCTCGCGCACCGTCATCGCCTATAACATTTCGGTCGCTCGTCCCTCGCGTCCGGCCCGCGATGATAATTACAAAAGCCCTCGGCGATTGGCGACAGCCGGTCGGTGAACGCAAGGACGAGCGGAGTCGCTCGCTCATCTCGGACTGTAGTCCGATACTCGGGCGATGTCGATCTGCTCGGCAGCGAGTCTTCTCGCCGCCCTGAGGGACTTGGTCGTCGAGTTTTCAGTCCTACTCTCCGTAATCGGTAGGCAGTCCGAGCCGCCTACGGCGACGACCTGCTTGGCGATCTCACGATCAACGCAGAGCCGCGTGAGGGCCTCCCTGGCGGTCGCCTCGAGTCGCCTGTATTCGTCCTCGAGACCCGGGGGCTGCATCCGCAGAAAACAGACCAGTGCCACGGAAGCGCGGCTCTCGACGAGGTGCGCGCGAGCTTGTGGTACCCGAGCGACGCACCCCACCAGGGCCGCGACCTGCTCCATCAGCCACACACTCCCGCCGTTCGATTTCTTAACGCACCTGCAATGTTTTTGTTAAAAAATGTCTTAGGTTAATTCAACCCTGGGCCTACCGCGATGGCTCGATAGATCATCGGCCAATTTAACGAATAAATTACCTCTCCCTTACTTCCATACCGCACGTCCAACTAATTAATCGGTTCTTCATACCTTTAAGACGCCCGTACGTCCGCGCGCAACATGACGCATTACATTCGATTACCGCACTCGTCGATATAAATGAAACTTGCAAAATACGCCCATAACCGTTGATAGCAATTGTAGTGCACACTCGTAAGCTATTATTAATCATTGTTTTTAAGCGTTAAAACATTGGAAGGCAATTAATTTACAACTAGAGCCAAACTATAAAGCTATTGGACATTTTTACTATTTATTGGTAAAAAAAAAATATCCTCGTACAATCGCTTACGCTGTAGGCTTAATAAATTTTCTATATTTTTCATACTACTTGAAATGAAATACGATCAATGCCATGGGAAGTAAGAAAGATAATGTATGACAATGATAGGGCGATCTTTCGCTTATTAAAAGTATTGTGACATCAATTGGTTCTGGTTTAGGGGTGACGATCGACTCATTCGTCGTCCAATAAACGGTGACGAGTTGGACCGAATACATCGCGCGAATTGCGAAGGCCACAACACAGACTTGATAAAGCCGCTAAAATTTGTCGACCGCATCGCTCCGATAATAATATACGTTTCTCACCTCAGCAGTTTCTTGATGGAGTCGGACTCGACGATGGCGGCGATGCACCGCCTCGAGTGGGAAAGATTGTTGATGGCCGCCGCGGCAAGAAGGAGCGTCTGCTTGCAGTTGGTGGCCTCGGCGAGATCGGTGAGCGCCGGGACCAGAGACCGCGCGAACGGCTCCATGTGAGGCAGACCCGCGCGCTCCATCCAGGGCGCGGTGATCTGGACGAGGAGAGCCGCAGCCTCGGACTTCTCGGCCTGGGGGGTCCCGGGATCGGCGAGCACGTCAGCGAGGATGTCGGGCCCGCCCTCGGCCACGAATCGCTCGATAGCCTCGAGGCAGCAGGAGACGCTAGCGAGGGCGCGCAGGGTAGCGCAGCGCAGCTGCGAGGACAACCGGCCCGCGGAGACGAGGCTCGTCAGTAAGGCCCGAATGCCCGAGCAGCGTGCGACGCTAGCACCGGCCCGGGGACCCGCGAGTCCTAGTGCCGTCAGCGCGGCTAGGGCACCCCGCGCGGCGCTGCCATCCTCTCGCGGTGCCTCCTCCAGTCCGAGCACCACCTTCTATTATATTCCGCGAGAAGAGAAAATTACGATTACGTTACGTGCTTTACTAAGCCAAGAATAACAAGAATAAGTGGGCAGAGGGTAGGCAGGCATCCCCACCCCTCATTCATCATACATACCTCGATGTAGTAGTCGAGTCGGTTGTCCAGCTCCCGGTCCACTTTATTCTTCAACCTCGTCAATTGTATGGGGACGTTGCGATAATTGTCCTGAGGTACGATACGACGGGGCGGCGGGAGCCCGAGCTTTACGAGAATATCCGCCGCCTCGGTCTCGAACCCTAGCAGCATATCTCTCTCTAATCTGCCACTCTTGGAGCTGCTGATGGAGCTGTATATCGACACGTTCAATGGATTATGCGTTAGCTTGGCGAAGAATAGGAGGAGCTCGTCGCTACAACCGACATTCCTCCTTCCTTCCACCCCCCCAACAAACACGACACCAAGGTTCGTTGTGATGTTCCACGGGAATTGCGATTTTCAGTTTCAATTGGCACAAAAATCTCCCAATATAAAATCCTCGAAATTTCATAATTGGAAGTACGTTAATAAGCGCCGAGACTCGTCGCGTTAATTGAACGATCGCAATTACCAACGAGTTGGATTATCAGATTATAATAGGCATGAGGAAGGTACGATATTTATTATCGGCCACTCGCGAGTATTACCATATAAATAACATCGGTTAATCAGTCGAGAACAACTTACCGCAGTGCTTGCTGATGACGTTTATCGAATCGATCGGCCACGTCAATGATCTTCTTGGCAGCGGTGGTAGCCGAGGCGGTCAGCAGTCGGAGGTCGCGGCTCTCGGGCTCGTCGTCGTCGCGTCGCCGCCTACGGGGTAATCGTTTGCTCTGGAGGGTGGACGTGCATTCCTCGTCGATGTCCAGGCGAATGTCTACGAGCCAAGCGTTCACGGGGGCGCAAGGATCTAGCTCCGGGACGAACCTGCCCAGTCCCAATTCCGGGCTTGGCTCCCGCTCCTCCCCCGGGGGCTCTTCCTGCGTGTACAGGAAGTCCTCGATGGCCTCCTCCTCCAACTCCAACTCCACCTCCAACTCCTCCTCAGGCTCCCTGTTCAGTAGCGGGGGCTCGTCACAAATTTTCTCTCGCCCTTCCACGCGCATCCTGCCTCGCTCGAACGTCTGACAATCGATCGCGCCTCGTTTCACGATGCGAGTCCGTTATATTTCGAGGGCGTTGTCGTACCGAGGATTCGAGATGACGATGTTCCCGTCGCGAGCTAAGGGTCGAGCAGCCACCTGCCGAGACAGCGGGATGACGACGATGATGTGGCTCACGGGCAAAGTCGGTAGGCTCATCGCGAGGGAAGAAACTCGTCGTGGCCCGTTGACGGAGCTCGTAAACGTCGGTCGACTGAGTCGCCCGAGGACGATTAATGGAAAAGTCGATTTTTCTTTCGTTTTTTTTTTGTTTTTCGTTTTTTCTTTTTTTCTTTTTGTTTCGTCGCGTTATAAACGAGAGTATCGCTGCTGCGCGAATGCCACAAGGTTCTTGGCTTTTTATAATGCTTGCGCATGCAAAAAGTGAGACTTTGCTATTTTATTGGCTCACCGGTGCTAATGCTGAGGCTCTTTCGTTTTCAAATCACACGTCTGCGCGTCACGCACACCCACACGACCGATTATTACAAACACGAGGTATTTGTAGCCTACAACGAGGTGATAAAGCTAATTACCGCGGGCACGAGCGACGTATTAATACATTGAATGGAGGACCGGTAGTGTTGAGCGCGAGTTCGTTTACTAGACGCTTAATCTCATTTTTTTTTTTTTACTGATGAATGGCGATGCATTAAAGAGACCAATTGCTAAGACCCGCGTTACGCGGTCGTGTGCTTTTCGTTACAAATAAGCGGGAAGCTCGACTATTTTAGGCTCGGCACAGGTAGAGCGCTACTACTTGGCACTTGGCACTTGGCACTATTGCTGTTATCGTCGCTCGTCAATCAACGATTATATCGCTCTTATCATCCCTCTTGATTATTTGGCCCTTAAAGGCCGAGCAGCGATGCCTCAAGGAGGAGGATCGGCGACGGCAACGCCTCGATTCCCCTCCCCCGTTCAACTAATCGCGCTTGGACTGGAGAGTCGAGGGGGCGATGAAGGGGATGGTGGAATGGGCGGGGGAAGATGTGGGGGGGGGGAAGACGAGGTAAAGGAATTGTCGTAAGCTTCGTGATTCGATAATTCGAGGGCCTGATATCGTGGTAGTGATAGCCCGGGTGATTCGCCTTGGGTGAAAGTTCCGTATCATTTGGTGACGATTGTCCCCGAGTGACCTACGACGAGTGACTAATCCTTTCCTCCTCCCGCCTTGCTCTCCTCTATCTATTTTTTGACCTCAGGTCGCGGAGAAGCGAGCACCTGCGCTTATGCGGACATTCCTCGAGCATTCGCTGGCGCATAAGCTCTTGGATATTCTATTCGTGGCGCGAGTCACACGGGGCCTCGATGAGTCTCTGCATTGACTCACGTGTGCCTCGACCTCTAGTATAAGCGAACGAACGTGTGTGCCTGTGTGCGCTTTACAGACGCGACGTTTCACTCTTGTTATGGGCGTAGACTCTATTCCTTCTTACTTGTTTTCTATTTTCAAATTAATACCGAAATTTTTTTCCACCTGACGATTTCTCGATTACGATTCGACACATATTTATGCATTGTTCGACGCAAATGTAAGCACAATTATCGTCACTGTGTATATTATTGCAGATAGCCAATGTCGACGATATTGCGGTACTTTTTGCTTAGACTGCACGAAAGCATAAACCTTGAAAATTGCTCATTCCGTCCATAATATTAACTGGGGTACGTGTGTATATATATATATATATATATATATATATATTTATTTATTTATTGATTATTTAAATTCGTAATAAAACGTATAATACTATTTTGTTATTATATTCAGTCGAAAGATATCCAACTCTTGTAATAGTAAATATTTATTAGTTTTGTCTGGTGCACTCGTACATCAAACAGCATCTCCGTTTAACTGAATCACCATCTTTTAATTCTTGTTATGACAGAGCGTAACACTGTACCATCGAAACATTATGCGTATGTTGAATTACAACCTGTCCCTCGATAACGATCCATTATGCTTTCTGACATAATTTATTTCTTCTTTCCTTTTACTAATACGAGATCAAGATCGGCCCCTTAAGATCATTATCTCGTGATTTTGAATGAAAATAGAGTATTAATGGGAAATCAGATTTAAAGAAAGAACAAATCTGGTGCTTCATTTACATAGTATAAATAAGAGTTAAAATCCTTAATAAAAATGGTGCTGTCAGAAAGTCAGATTTATTTATTTATTGATCTTATCCGAACATTTATCTATCAATTATATTTGATTAAGCAAACTTTTACAACGATGTATCGTAATACTTTTGATATGCTTTTGTATTTCACGATACCGTTTCCAGGCCTCGATACCTCGCTGAGCTTTAAGTTGCATCGACGAGTCCTCGCCCGTTGAAATTATTTTCGGTACACACAGGAAGTTAGAAAATATCTTTTATGTGAACAGCTGCGACGATAATTATTCTTATCCTTACGATTCTATCGCGTGCTTTACAGTTTTCGCCCGCTTAACTTATTTGCCTACTGTATGAAGAGGACGATAGTGCGATACTTGTCACATCATTAAAAAAATTACCGGCCCCTACAATTCCAAATATTAAAAATCTCTTTAATGTTGAAGCCTAAAAAAATCAATCATTCCTTTATCGCTAATAATCCGTAATGACACTTTAGCTCGGAGTTGCAACAACTTTCAAAGTATCCATCATTCCGATTCCATTTCCTCGTGCGCTCATCTCAAGTACACAAAACAACGCGCGTTATTTGTTTAATATATCCGAGCTATCATATCTCCTCTACTCTACTCTACTCTCTCTCTCTCTCTCTCTCTCTCTCTCTCTATCTATCTATCTATCTATCTATCTATCTATCTATCTATCTATCTATCTATCTATCTATCTATATATCTACGTGATGTATCGAGGCTAGTATACGACTAATCGTAAAATAAGAATTATTACCAAAGTAGTCGATCGGATATGAATCACATCGTATCCCATGAATTAAATGCCCCTATAATAACCGAGAAAAAAAAAGAGAAAAAAAACCTTGACTATGACGTCCGTCGGAGTCTTCATAGCGCGTGCATTCCACGCCCGAATGCGTAACGCGAGAGCATTCCTTTCTCATTTCGCTCTTTTTTGCCTTTTTTCTTTTTATCGAACGCACCGAACAATGCTGCAATGAGACAGCGCACCAATACTTAGGCGCAAGCACGTAAAGGAGTGCAAATCGACACTCGCGCGCTGAATTAGTGAGAACCGCAAACGATCGTCAACGACGTGACTTTATCTACCGAGCACAAGGCCATAACTTGAGCAAATAAGCCTATCTTGCATAATACATACATACATCCTAAACTTCCTTCGCTCGCCGGTCGGCTAACATTACCTGCCACTATTTGTTCGTATTTCACTTTATCTTTATCTTTATCTTTATCTTATTCCTTATTTCGTTTTTTTCTTTTTTTCTTAACCATTTGACAAAGTGACAAGACCTTAAATACTCGGATGAAATCCGTGCTTTTTGTTATTTCCTATGTCCCTATACTAAATTCATTGTCGTTTGAGTCACAAAATTATCGAGGCTCTCAATTTGTAATATGATTTCTTTTTGTCTTTAATGATTTATCCTTTGAGCATATACGCGATGCGCCATGCCTATTAACCAACCAATTGTTTACATTCATTTCACTCTGGTCACGAAAAGCGCGCCCATCTCATTATTACATCACTGCAACTTTACACTCCTTGATAGACGTGTTTTCGTTTGTAAGGGAATCCCTTTCGATGGGCTCGATACAATAGTCGGGAATTCGTCTGAATTAGAGTGCAACGGCGTGTATCGGTGAGGTATCGTGATGTGTCGCGCGACTCGTCGTGCGCCAGCGTAAAGAAAATCGCCAAAAACAAAAGAGACAGAAATAAAAGTAGCTTCCAAAGAAAGCCTTACAAGACCATATAATGACGGAATGTTATGCGCGCGACTCTATACATCGAACGTGCCATTCTAATAATTTTCGAAACAGTTACCACGGGCTTACCAATGCATTAGAATGCAGATCACGAGACCCCCGTGAAAAATATATTGAAACTCAACTCGGCAGTACTCTATTGTCGTCATTGCCAATTAAAAAATAAAAAACGAAACAACAACAACAACAACAACAGCAGCAGCAGCAGCAAACAACAGTTGAGCGGTTACAATCGAGTGCATTGGGCATCGAATCACCGTGAATACCACGATGGTTGCTAAAGTTCGATTAATCCAGTCACGAGCGTGGCTTTACGAAAAATGCCCATACGTACTTACGTGTGCATTGAAAAGTTTTGAATGCACCAGTCTCAAGGCACGACGTCCTTAGTGTTTATATTATGGATCTGGCGATGGCATCGAGCCACCCGATACGGCAATTAAGGCGACGAAACGCGCGTAAGGTGGGTATTTTTCATCGCGAGTCGCCGAATGTAAATAACGAAATTCCGTCGAACTCGTTGAACCGTAAGAGCCAGTCGTAACACATCAACGACAGCGCCACGACCCAGATCCGATTGCTCAGGCGACGATTCTTTTTCAAATTCTGACAAACCGTGATCGGAATCGCGATCGAGGCTTTCTGGCCCGGTAATGATCAATCTACTCACCGCTGGCCTTTAAAATCCAATTGCCTGGGCACGAGGACTTCCTGGGCTTGCGTCCTCGCGAGGCCCGGCGGCTCCTGCTTGGGCGTGGAGGTGTGGGTCGGGCACTCGGCTTTGGCCTTCCTACGTCGGCGTCTGCGCCTGGGACTGCGGGGTCCGCTGTTGCTCGAGCTGTCGGACCTCCCCGAGTCCGAGAAGCCCGAGTCTTGGCTGCGCTGTCCGCGACTCGCTGGGCTAAACGAGCGTTCGGCGAGGATCTCCTCCTTGAGCGCAGCCTCGCACGATGGATTCTCGCTACTGAAAATACAACGACCATCAATGCTTGGGAACATCTCGGATTGTCGCCGGCAAACGCTCATAACTACGAGACTCTTTGGCGCGACAATCCCCTCTCGTAATTACGCGCGAAGTGTGAGATAAATGCTTAGGAGGAAGAATACGATGCCAAAGGGATTTACTCCCTTCGATCCTATCCATTAAAGGCCAATAATGGGATATGTAAAATTTGCTATCACGGTGCGGACCGAAGACCGACTCCTTTATCTCATTTTCATTTTTACGCTATCGTTATAATTAATTATAATGGTTACTTTTCAACTTCATTTTAATTAGAACCATAGGATATTTTGCCAAGGATATTTTCGTTCACAGCGATTTTCCGACAAAACTTCTTGTAATAGATGCAAGACGCTTGCCAGAAGCATTATAAATAATATTTCTATGACACAAATCACAACAGCATGAATAATTAAAAAAAAAAAAAAAAAAAAAAAAAAAAAAAAAAAAAAAAAAAAAAAAAAAAAATGACAAGAGTATCTAAATTTGTCTTGTGTTTATCTTTCGCTACTGACGATTACTTTGCATCATTCGGAATCGTTAATCTAGTTAACACGCGGTCATTACTTTTACAACGATTTATAAACAAAAGAGAAAAAAAATTAAAAAAAAAATAAATAAACAAATATTTCCTTAAAAGGCCTACGTTTTTTCTGCAAAATATGTCAATGTCTCGAATTCACTATCATTGCATAATCAAATGTACCAATGTAAGTGTGTAGCCAATCTGATAAAAGGAGAATAAAACAAATTGTGTTGTGTGTGTATAGGACACGTGTAACAGAACAATAGTAAAACGTTATGTCACTTTAGTTTTTCATTAATCGAGCTGAATTAGCAACCAACGAATAAGTGAACAAAAACAAAAACAAAAAACAACAAAAAATTTAGCTTTATAAATCTTAATAAAAAAAATATTTATAGTGCACGTTTGCAATTTGCATTTGTTATACCGAAACTATTCAAGTTATTATGAAAATGTCGCTCCCATAGTTTATACGAATACTTTAATCGTGACTTTTCAAAATTATGTTTTACTATGAAACAAAAAAAAAAAAAAAAACCACTGCCATAGGCATAGTTTCCTTCAAACTTGCACGATATTCTGATTTTAAAAATATATCGATCGTATTGAATTTACCGCACTTATTTCGAAAAAAAATAAAAAAATAAAAATAACAAACATATAACATTATATAATATATAATACAGACACGAATAGCTGCATCCGATCATCTTAAACAATTCATTCAATTACTCTTTCACAATAAACTGATTTCAAATACATTAAATGCATGCAAGAATTATAATTAATTCTTTCTAAATGTAATTACATGCAAGTACATGTGTAATATAACACTATCGCAATTTATTTATCCGTCTTATGTGCCCGACATTTCAAAGAAAAAAAAAAAAAAAAAAAAAAAAAAAAAAAAAAACCCACTAAAAAGTAAAACAAAAAGAATCTCATAATTAATCCCAAAATTAAGTTAAATTGTATTTTCAATGACAAAAGTTTACGTCACTAAAACGAGCTCCCCACGTATATTCACAGGTGTTGTTCCTTTTCTTTCCTTACAATTGTCCAAGCGCAAAATTTTTACAAAATAATTACTCGACTTTATGGCCTAATTGTTAGATAAGACCCGATGACTCGATGATTCACAACGCGTAATAAAGACTCGTTTAAAAGAGAACAGGTTGCTCGTAGATCGTTGACAACGAGACATTTGTTTGTCGGTAAGTATACAAAAAGTCAGATCAAGCAAAACAGTACCCTCCCCTCTCCATCCCCAAATCGCCAACGTAACGTAACGATTTAAGTACCAAGAAATTTCATTCCGTTCACTTATCACGATCTCATAAAAATGAAAATTGTGCGCTCCCTGCAAATTTATTTACAATGTGAATCTGGGCTTGTGACAGACTACCATCACCATCACCACCACACTGACATTGGAACAATCATTCAAAACGAGCGCTAAGAGAGAAAACTCTCTGCTCTTCATTCGGCTGCCACTCCGAACAATCACATCTAAAGAATTTAATCTTTTTCTTTTTTTTTCTTTTTTTTTTTTTTTAACAGTCTTTCCACGACGGCTGATAAATTTCATTAAACAACTATGCTGCCTACTGTTTACCTAAGATATGGATAAAAACGGAGGCACGAATACGCGTAGAGCTGGAGCTGGCGTCTTGGGGCTCGGCGATAGACGCCGTCGTCGCCGCTCCATTGCTTTTCACCGATAAAAATTATGATTTTCCGGCGATCGCTGAAGTCGATCGCTGAAGTCGATTATGAATCTGCCGTCTTCCAACATTCAACAATGAGAATCACACATTATCACACATTATCGTCGTTTCGATCTCCGGTTGAATTGCTCGAGGTCTTGGCTCGATCGATAATCACGCGTGATTCTCACTGACCGCGACAAGGACGCGCGAGCAGGGGCCTGGTGACGGGCGGGGGGGGGGGGATCCGCGATCTCCCACGGGCTCGCGTGCTACAATCATGCCAAGGCTCGCGATCGTTCGCAAGGACGATCACTTCGACCGGCCGATTTCATCGAAATGTCACCGAGTGACCAGAATAAGAGCTGGAGTTACGTCGTCTACGTTGTCGTCGTCGTCGTCGTTGTAATTGGCGTTGACATTACCTGCTGGCCTCTACGTGGATGACAGTAGTGTTCTCAGGGTCACTTGGCTCGGACTCCTCGTCACGGTTCTCCTCCGTCGGGATGGGGAGCGGGCGCTCGACTCGGTCCCGGGCCTCCATCTGTCCCCAGAAAACCTGGCTGCGATGGCGCTTGAAGCCGCTCATGGCGCCAAGGTGCGAGGAGATCGGGAGCTCCGTGCGAACGGTGCGCGCGCGACCGACCGACTGACTCTCCCCGGCCTCGGGGACGCCTCGCGCTCCCGTGCCGTCGCTCGCTCGCCCCTCTCGACTCCTGCGACGCGCCTCGACGGCCCCTCCCTCGGCCCATCTGCGCCACCCGATCCTTATCCGTCGCTGGCGGGGGAGGCGAGCCGCTTCTTTTCGGCCGAACCGCCTGGTCGGCATTAAGCTCGAGCCGACGTAGCCGTAAGCGGACCAACGACCGAGCGCCCAGCACGCCGATAAGAAGGACAAGCAGCCCTGCAGCTTACAGCCGATGCCACCGAGATGATTGGAGATACTGATATCCGCCTCTTGAAAGTAGATCGTCGCCTCACCCGCAGAGCTCCGGCCGCTTTCGTCCGAGCTGCCCCGTCGGCTCTTCGCTTCCTCCTCCGTCGACGACGCGAGCCTTACCTCTCCTCTCCCTCGCACCAACACTGCCCCCGGCATCCAAAGGCTAACTTTATTACCCTTGCTGTTGCTCCGATTATTATTATTGTTGTTGTTGTTATTATTATTATTGAGTTGCCGAATTGACTGCCGGAACCGAATAATATTGGGCGACGCTGAAACCGAGGCGGGTAAATCGTCGGCGACCGCAAGGACGCACCGACACTCTTATTTACAAGAGGCTGAGCGACGATTAAAGTGCGCGGCCTAAAGGAGAAAGGAAAAAGCAGACGCGATGCACGGCATCGGAATGGAAAATCGCGCGCGCATAATCGCGAACCGGTCGCGTCTGCGCCACATACGCAACAAAAGCCCGGTGTAACCGACAAAATCGTGGCTAGCCGTCCCTTTCAACCCCCAGCTTTTCGGGGCTCTGGGGGCACAGGGGATGAGGCAAACTCCCTACGATTACGAAGAAGAGAGCTGAGCTACGCGAACTGGTGGGGGCAGGTAAGCCCGAGGTGGGACAGCGGCATAATGAAACGAGAGAGAGAGAGAGAGAGAGAGTATAAGTGTGTGACGGGAGAGACGGCATTCTGGGCGTAACGACTTTCGGGATCTTTAAAAAGCATCGGGGCTGCTCCTGCTTGTCGTATTTAAATTACCGGAGTCGTCATAAAGATCGTAATTGGAGCCGCCGCGCCGTAGTGGGAAACTGGGCAGGAATATATTTTACGAGAGTCGAGTCGAGTCGAATCGAGCCCGACGAGGGGGTTGACTCGCGGCTACAGCCGGGCTATAGCGTCCGGAAGCCGCGGCGAGGAAGAG